GCAAGTTAATAATTAATCCGAATGATGATTATGTTTTCTAGTAAAGGTGTTGTGGTTTCATTGAAAAATAAACGCCATATTTGTAATATTTTAAAAACAACTCTACATAATTCGTATTCTCTACTCCTTTCACATTTTAGTGTTTTTGTTTCATCTTTAACAAATAAAGGATTCTGAAATGATGATTTTAATTCATAATCGTTTAACTTAGAAAATAAGTTTGAACTTTTAAGCAACAGGACCAGAAAATCGGCCATAGTTACCATACCAGAAAACAGACAACAAGAAAAGCAGTGGACAAAGGCAATACGGGAAACACAGTCCCATAAGTATGGAAAAGTTCCTTCAGAGAGTTTCAGAACTAGTGTATGGTATTTTTAAATATGGATTTGATTCATCATAAAAATGCCTGATACCTTAATGCAAATATATACACAACTTTATTATAAAACTATACATCAATTCATATACTGTATATTATAAAAATTAAGTTAGGGTTAAGTTGAGTATTTATTTACTTCATACGAAAAGCACTGTGTGCTGAACACACTGTCGTAGACCTAATTTTATCAAGATACAAATTTAGTCCAGGTTCAAAGCAGATGCGACTTCAATTCGGCAGTCTTGTTTCCTTTTATATTATATAATATAATATATATATATATATATATCTATATATATATATATATATAATATATATATATATTATATATATATGGTTCCTTTGAGAGCTAAAAAAAATTCGAGATTGTGAGATATGTGTATAACCGTTTGATGTGCTTATGTTTGTTTCTGAAACTATGCGGTGACATATTTGTAATTAATTGGTAACTTTATTAACAACGCCGTTTAATTACGATTGTGGGGCTATGTGTTGTAATTTACAAAGATTGATATAATTTTGCAGGCTACGATACTGTAACCGCCTATTGTTTTCTTTTCTTTCTCGATCAAAGTCTCATTTCAAACTCTCAGGAAACCCTCTTTTTCTTTCTTTATCGTATTTTGCCCTAGTTTTCGTTTCTTACCTGTTATTGAGAAATCAGTAAATGTCTTCAAGAAAAATAATAAACGAAGTCGCATCTTCGTTATACGAAATGAAAGGTAGAATGCGAGTTATTTTCCTTTTGATAATGCATGTGTTTTAATTAATAGTTAACTGTCGTTTTATGTTGATAATGGTGTTTTTTTGTTTTGATTCAGTAGATTTTTCGTCATTTTAACTTGATTTTGATGATTGTCTCGTTTAGAGTTGATATGTTTTTTATTATGTTTGTTTTGGGTGGTTTTTGATGTAAGTTTTTGTTTTATATTTTCACAGATAAGGATTTCAAAAGAAACTATGTTCGAAAAAATTCAAAAATCAAAAAAATATCGAATGCGGTAGAAGTGCTGTTATTTCCGAAGGTACAGTTCAAAAAAATCATATATGATTAGAAGTAGAAATAAACATATAACTTAATGTTTGAAGTTTTTGTTTGTTGTATCATAACTGATTTTTTGATTTTTCCAGTGTATTGAACATAACATTTAATTATATGTTTATTTCTACTTCTAATCATAGATGATTTTGTACGTTTGTTTATAATTATTGGTAAATAGTAATGATAAATGTATTTTAATGTATCAAACATGAATATAAAGTTATTTTTGTAATCATAACTGATTTTGTGGTTCTTTTAAGTGGATTGTATAACATTTAGTTGTATTTTTATTTATTGTTCTAATCATAAATGATTTTATACGTCTGTTTATAATCATTAGTGAAATAATAATGATAAATGTATGTTTTATATCTTACTAACACTATGTTTCTAATGAAAATTGTAGTTAAAAAAGGGAATGTAGATAGCTCAAGGAAGACACGATAATCTTCCAAAAGAGAAAAGGCGAATGAGGTGTCGCAAACACGTTCAAAGAAATCCAAAAAAAAAATAGTTATTGAACAACCAAAAGTGAAGCTGAGGGTTAAGGTAAAACTGTAAGTAAGAAACGTGAACTATCTGATGAAGATGATTCAGATTTTCAGAGTCGACCTGGATCTTCAAAGAACCAAAGAGAGAAACTAAAGTTTGAAGAAAGATAAAAAGCTGCTGTTTATAAAAGAATTTCCTTCATTGAAGAATAGATGTTCACCCGGGTCATTGTTGGGTGTTATTCAAGGTTTAAGTAGAGAACAAAAGGATTGTATTAGGGCTATGGGATTTGGGAGTTTGTTAGGGATGAAGATGATTGACGTACCGTTGAAGATTGTTTATTATGTTCTTGATCATTTTAATTTTGAATCTTTGAAGGTGGAGTTTGATAATTGTGAAGTTAGTGTTGATAGTAAGTCTGTTCAAGAGATGTTAGGATTACCATCTGGTGGCTCATTATTTCAAACATGGATTACATTTCGGAGAAAATGAAGAGAGCTGTAATGTTTGAGTGCAAGAAACAATATGAAATATTGATATTGAGAATGAAACAGCTAAAAGACTAGAATGAACTTGTTCAAAGTAGTGCTGCGGATGACAACTTCAAAATCAATTTTTTGGTTCTTTTTATTATTATATATATACTTTAATCATATATGATTTTAAATTTTTATATTTGAATTTTATAGGTACTGATGGTTGTTTAAATCATAAACTAGTTCAAGATGATGTGAATTTGAATTTGACTGGTATTGATGATGGTAAGTATTTATTTATGTATTTTTAATACATAAAATATATATAAATATGTTATATAGATGATTCATTTATGATTTTAATAATTTAGGGACTGTAAATTTGGGTGAGGATGATCATAAAAATAAAGATGGAGGTAATTTGTTTATAATTATTGTTTATTCATATATAACTGTGTTTATAATTATTGTTTATTCATATATGATTTTTATAATTTTATTGGGCAGAAAATGTTGAAGATTGTTCAAATAAAACAAAGGATTCAAATGAGACTCGATCATTGAAAAATGATATTGTTCCAAGTTTTAGTCTTGGATTTAGTCAGATTCTGAAGGTTCCAAGAAGTCATCTCAAAGTCAAATTTCTTCTGAACGGATGACAAAGAAAAGATTAAGGATAGAGTTTTTTGGGAAAACCAAGTGTTGGTCCAGAGCGTGTTATTCCAAATGTTGATGTTATTGATGCTAGTCCAGTTTCTTTTGCACCCCCTTTGGGTACATTAGAAGGACCATCAAAACCTGTTTCTGGCAAACCTAAAGATATAAATGAAGAAGCAACATCATTAGTGGATATCAAAGGAAAGAGACAAATGAAGTTTTCTTATGTTTATAAGTCACCATTTAAGGAAAGGTTAATTGATTTTAAACCTAGTTTGACACAAGTAGAAAATGTTGTTTGTGAATGGCTTTTCAATCTTCAAGGAAATCCAGGGTAATTTTTTTAATATAATTTTTATTTTTATAATTATAATTTTTTGTTTTAAATAACATTTAATTAAATATATACAGGGATATTGTATTGCCTATGGAAACAGATGTTATTGGTTTTAGAGCTAATTATGAAAATCTTTTTAAAAAAACCCATTTGCATGTTAGTGTTCTTGATTCATGGTCTCGTACTAAATCATCAAGAGAATTCAGAGATGTTGTTAATTCTCCACTCAGATTGTTCATGAATTCTGACACTGTAAGTTTTATTTTATTCTTTGCTTTTCATATGTTGATAATCATTAATAATTTTTTATTAAATATTTACATGTTATTATATAATCATTTATGATTTTCTTATATTACAGACTTTGTCATTTGAATATACTCATTTGAATGAAACTGCAAAATATAAAGTTTTCAAGGACCAGCTTCTCTCGCAGTGTTTCTGGTGATAGAGACTTGAAGGTTTTGAAGGATGTTGATATGGTATATTTTTTATATATATATATATATATATATATATATATATATATATTATAATTTATTTTATAATATTATACATGTTGATGTAGGTATTTTTCAGATTTTGAGGCATAAGCACATATATCTTATGTTATGAATCTGAAGAAACGTGCTTTTGAGGTTATCGATAATGGTGCAGATGATGCTGGATTTCGATGATAAGTATGGTGCAGTTTTTTTAAACCTCTTGTAAGTTTCAAATGATATTATTCTTTAGATTTGAAATCATATATGATATGTTTTATAATTATTATACTTATATTTTTCTGACTTGAAATCATATATGATTTTCAGAAAAAGTGTTTTTTGAAGTATCTAAAAGAGATCGATCATGTTAAAGCAAATGAAATGGCTGATAAAAATCTTACTCCAGTAAGATTGACAATGCCATGGAGGACAGTTTTTAATAACAAAGTGGATTGTGGAGTTTTTTGCTATGAGACATATGGAGAGTTATTTTGGAGAAAAAGGTTCTAAATGGAAATGTGGTCTTCCAAAAGAAGGTGGTTCTTAAGAAAAAATTCTGGAAAAGTTGAGAATGAAATATGCAGCAACAATTTTAACTTCGAGATTAATACAAAGCGTGATGATGTTGAAAGCTCATATGAGTATCACAAAGTTGATCAAAAGATGCGTGTAAGCATTCATATGATGCTCAATTGAAATATCAAAAGAAAGTTGATGTGTCGAAAGTGATATTGTTGATAACAATAGAAATAAGTATGTTTTAATTTTTTTTGATTGATTATTTCTTATTGATGATGTTATAAGAACAAGTTTGTTTATGTGGTGTATGTTATGGATTTGTGAGAATGTTGTTTTTATGATGATGGAAAACATGGTGATAGAAAACAAGTCATATATGTATTTTGGTGGATTTTATTATGTAAGTTGTTTGTGTGAATTATGTTATTGAATGTTAAACCATAAGTGATTATGTTATATTTTTATATGTATTTTTGTATTTTGTGTTTAGTATTGATTATATGTTGCTTAATGTAATCATTAGTGATTATATCGATTATTTTTTTTATGTTTTTGTAATCATAAAAATGATTATTTTGTTGTACAACACATTATAATTTATTATATATTTTTCTTGATAAGTGAGCTTATCTTTACTGCTGGAATACATCACCATGCAGAATCTTATCTTTGTAAGATTTTATTTTTGTTTTTTAGTGGTTGTATTGAAGAATCTTTTTCTTTATAAATGAAAACTGATTTGTACAACCATATATTGTATTTTTGATAGTGATTATGTTTTTGTATAAAGGGGGTAGCCTCGTGCTAATTTTGCTATATCTAATAACATTTTCCCCATTTTTTTCAAGATTCTTGTTCTTTTATTTGTAGCTAGATTTTCATACAGATTGTAGCTGACTCCAAGAACCCTCTTCCACCATTACTTAAAAGTTTATCTTCATTGAACATATCAGATCTTTACTAGATGTCTTTGAAGTAGAGGAATGTTGTTCATTTAAAGAATATTTCTTTTTAATGAACAACATTTCTCTACATCAGATATGTAGCAAAGATTTGTTATGTTCAATGGAGATAATCTTTCTAAGTAATGGTGGAAGAGTTCTTGGAGTCAGCTACAATCTGTATGAAAATCTAGCTAGGAATATGAAGAACAAGAATCTTGGAAAATGGGGAACGTGATATTTGAGACTTGTGAAATTGTTTGTTATTGAAGATTTTATCATGTTGATGTTATTCTATTATTTTTGAATATTGTTATCTTTAGATTTTTTGTTTATGAGCAGAGTGTTGTTATATTTGTTAGGAACGATGTTGTTTGTATATGGTTATATGTAATGGTTAGATGTTTTTTATGTGTAATCATATTTTTAATCACTTATGATTAAACAAAACATCTGAAGTAGTATTACATAATATTTTATGATTATACCGATGAATATTGTATATGGTTATGTGTAAATGATTACTGTATTGAATATAGTTATATGTAATCTTAAAATGCTTGTAGTACCTTTAATAAAAGTTTAATCATGAATGATATATTATCAAATCAAAGAAAGAATTATCAAAGTAGATTAAATCCAGTAGACAAAATCATAGTAAATTATGTTTTATAAAACGAGTAAAGTGTACTAAACAAAAAGTATATTATTTTGAAAAAAAAATTATGACTTATTCATTACTGATTAAAGCAGTAAATATCTATGTAGTTTTTGATGATTGTTCTGATGCAAGTTTGATTGGGCATGTCCGCAAGTTAAGAGGAGCCCTTTCTCCACATCCTGAGCATCTTCTTGTTTGCTTGTTTGAATTTTTATACGCTATTTCTGTTGCACTTTGAATTCTACTTTTCTTTCCGCATCCTTTATTGCTTTGAACATTGGGAACATTGATGCCAATGTCTTTTGGAATAGATATGCCCATAAGCTTTCTACCTCTTCAACATTTGTCCTATTCATCTGCAATTCATTTGTAGGATCGTTTTCATATTCCTTCAGCAAGCTTTCTGTTTTCTTAACAAACAAATCCATTTTTTCTTTATTTTTTCTTACGTATTCCAAACATGCTTCAAAGTTGTAGTATGCTTGATTGACAGATCTGTTAATTTCACTATCTCCTGTATCATATACATGGCTACCAAAATTATAATGCCTTGATATCACATCCTTTCTCCAACGATTCTCAACGTACTGTTCAGGTATCTCCTTAATTCCATGTTTCATGAGTATGTTGAATGCATGTCTGCACAAAGTCCCAAAGCGTTTAAGTGTTCACAAGTACATTTTACATCATGGGTTGGAAGTTTTATTTCTACCTGTTCAAAAGCGGTTAAAGCATTAAGTGTTTTATAATCATAACTGAATATTCTTTTATATTATGTTCTGATTCAACAAAATTTAAAATAGGAATATATTACCTCAAATTCTGTTTTTAGATCACTGTTTTTGTTCAGTTGTTCCACTTTGTTAACTCCCATCCAGTTTTTTGTTCCAAGATGTTCTATTGGCAGTACCAGGAACCTTTATAGATTTCTTTATGTACTTCATAAAACAATGTACTTGTATAAACTTTTGCAGCATGTTTTTCTATTGGTCGTGGTGAAATAAATTTATATACCCCGCCTTCTTTGTTTGATGATCAAGCTCCTGTTTGTGTATTTCTTTGTTTTTGAATTGCTGTGTCATAGTTCATCATGAAAGGTAAAAGTAAATTACCAGATTGAGAGTAAGTGTTGAAGAAGGAATTCATGCTTTCTGATCTTGAAGTGGTTTTCATCAATCCAGACATTCTTGTGTCATTGAAGTATGCAGGTATCCATTTGTCACGTAATTCAAACATATCATTGAACCATCTTTTATCTTCTAGATTGAATTCATTAATAATCAAATCCCACTTCTTTTCAAATTCATCAGGTTTGATATGCATGTTCCAAACAAGCTTGTTAAATCTTTTCTTTTCTTGAAGTCTTTGTTTTTAAATAAATCGCCAGTAACTATGAATGAACAACTTTGCTTATATAAGTATAAATTATATACCTATTTGGATATATCATATATGATTAATCATATATGATTACAGTACATATATGATATATGATTAATCATACATGATATATCCTACATTACACTAATCATATATGATTAATCATATATGATTAGTGTAATGTAGGATATATCTATTGGATTAGTGTCTAAGTCCATAACTATTTTGGTATGTACTTGACCCGATTATGAGCATGGTCCTTTTGGGTTGCCTTCACCATAGCAATATGTAGGATGAATTAAGGAGAGAAAGGTTTAATTATGATTTATTAATATATTATAAGAATAATATATTAAAGGAGAAATCATATTGTTTAATTAATATTAGTCAAGAATTAATTAAGAATTAATTTAGTGGCTAAAAGAGATTAATTAAACTTAGGGGACTAGATTTGCAATTATAAGATAATTACAATTGGGCTATAGATTACCTAAATAATATAGGTTGGACGAATTCTATGGGAAGCCCATAAGGAATTCGTCCAAGAGATATGTTAAAGGAGTCCATGGGCTGCTTAGGGCTTAAGCAGCCAGATTAGGGTTTCCTAGTTGTAAACCCTAATAGCCTACATGTATATAAAGGACCCTTAAGCCCCAAAACATGGACAAGAATCCTTTAGGGTTTCCAGCCGTTTTTGGTGCCTCCTCTCTCCTCCCTCTTCATCCAAGTTGCTTAGTGGTGTTTGTGACTCCATTAGAGGTGCAACACTTGAGGCACTAAGCTTTCTGAAGCCAATCAAAGCAAGGAATTGATTGTTATTACTATATAATAATCAAAGGTAATTACTAAACCCTTATTTAAGTTCTTATTTGATAGATCTAGGGTTTATGGCTTTGGATTATCAATTGCATGTTCATTAGACAAACTAGATCCAAAGCTATTAGGGTTTGCATGTACACCATAGGATTGATGTATTGCTCGAAACCCATCAGTGGTATCAGAGCCTAGGGCTGTTTGTTAGTGAATTTGATGCTTGTTTGATCGAAAATTGCTTGAAAAAATCGAATTTTCTTGGGTTCTAACTGCCAGACTCGAGTCGATTCATGGAACTCGACGAGTAGTTCCTACTCGACGAGTTCCAGTGTGGACTCGACGAGTCCGAGGATCTGTTGCCGATTTTTTCGATTTTTCCACCAGATTTGTTGAGGATAATTGTCAAAACTCGTTTTATTGCCTAAAATCGATTTTTTATGTTTGGAATGATTATCCTTGTCAAAATTGATGGATTTGGTTAAATATGGATAATATAGGATTATTATTAGTAAATATTTGACCTAGTAAGTTTGAAAAAGTTTCAATTTTCCCCTTTAGGTTTTATAGTTTAAATTTGAACTTAAAAGTTTTGTTTTTGAAATTTGAATAGTTGAACCCTATTGTTTTGAAAAGTTTCAAAACTTGTCCTCAAGTTTTGGAATTTAAATTTTTGATTAAAAGTTTAATTTTGAAATACTTAAATTCTAAACCCCAATGTTTTGAAATGTTTCAAAACTTGCCCTCAAGTTTTGGAATTTAAAATTTTTTGATTAATAGTTTAATTATGTAATATTTAAATTCTAAAACTCTAGTATTTTTTGAAAAGTTCAAATTACACCTCATTGTTTTGTTAAGTTAATTAAAAGTTTAATTAAAAGAGAAAGTTAATAAAACCCCTAGTATTTAAAAGTGTAAAATACAACCCTATACTATATATATAACATTAAAAGTCTAATATTAATATATATATATATATATATATATATATATATATATATATGAGTAAACAGTCAGTCTTACCGTTAGTAGGCCTCATTCACGAAGCTGATCTATAAGGGGTGTTTAAGGAAATTGCCTATAAAATGGCGATTGAATGGGTATCCACTCTTACCCACCGCACTCTTGACTAGTGGAGGGTCGTTAGCCGAATGGGTAGGATAGGACGAAACCTCCATTATAAGTATAATGAAGTACAAAGTAACTAAATGCTTTTACAAATTCCCAAATCATAGTTACTTTAGGCAAAATGTGAAATTGTATGCTAATCCATGGAATTACACTTCGTACCCTTGTCAAACGTTAGTGGAGCGTGTGTGGTTAACCGACACACTAATTTGGGATTGATATTGGTGGCGAAGGGTAGCTCGATGCTTATCATAGATCAATGGAGCGTGTGTGGCTAACCGGCACATTGATTAGGTGATGGAGACATTGAGTGCACCACGTAGATTCGCATGGTTATTCACACCTTATTTGTGATCTTCGGCATCCCAGTCACAAATAGAAGGGCATAATCGAGATTAAACATGCCATTGAAAAGTTCAATGAATCTCATAAGATCTAGGAGTTTCAATTCATTTAAAACTTGAACTTCATTTTTGTTTTTCATGGTGGGAATTGGTAAATCGTCATTTACCTACCTTCAAACATTATGCAACTAGATTACGACATCCCTCTTCTAGGTTGAGTATTATGTTGGATCCTAGCCTTGATGTTTCATTTGGGTGTTACATCAAGGAATTTTATCAACTAACTTGAATTTTCTCCCGTTTTGTAGATGTCTAAATCTTACAATGGTCTTCCTAAGTCCCTTGGAACAAGCTTTCCAAATGAAGATGACGTTCCACGATACGATCAAGGAAATGAGAGTCATGCTTCACTTCCTCCACCTCCTCCAATTATTCTCCCTAACCCACAAGTTCAAAGACTTGAAAAGTTCAAGCTCACTCAAGCCCTTTTGGCAAGTAAACACGAAGATGGGAAACCTGTGTGTGCACACATCTTAGAGATGAAGTCACACATTGATAGGTTAAGGATGATGGGTGTCGATATCTCAGAAATGTTGGCTGTTGACTGGGTTCTTCAGTCACTTCCTGAATCATATAGTGAGTTCGTTAGAGAGTACTATATGATGGACCATGACGTGACCCTCATTGATTTGACCTATTTGCTTATAGCTGCTGAATCAGAAATGATTTGGCGTGCTGATCAAGCAAATTTGTCTGGCAAATCAAACTCCCAAACTTCAATGGACATTGAAAATGGTGACATTGGAAATCCAGAAAAGGTAAATTCTGAGATAGTTCCTTGTGTCATTCCAAAAGAGTCCATCTGCTTCTACTGCCAAGAGAAGGGGCATTGGAGACGAAGCTGCCCTGTTTACC